CGAACGGGCTTGCAGTGCTCCATGTTAAACTTTTTCAGAACATCACTTGCAAACTTTGTCTGCCGTATCGAGACTGTTCCTGCTGTTGCATCCTGCTCAATTTCCATTCCGAGAAAGTATTGAAGCTGGCTCATATCCGTCATCTCAAATCGCTCGCTAAGTGCATGGATGGACATTGCGCGCAAAACTTCGCAGCAAGTTGTAGCAACTGCTGATCTCGTTGACGGGCTTTATTGGCTTCGAACGACACAGTTTTTTGCAAATTCAGTAGTGCCAACACGCAGCATCGATCTACATGCACGAATGGGACATGCCCCAGATGATGTATTACGCAAGATGATTAACAGCGGTATGATCAAGGATGAAAAGATGCTTCTGAGGGTCCCCGAGCATGAACAACTTACGAGTCCATCAAAGCGATCGAGGTTCCTTGCTATCGACACGCCGTCTTATATTCTAAAATCATGATGGGGAGATGTCATCGACACAGTTATGTACCGTGGTCCGGTTGTAAAACGTGCTTCAAGCTTGCATTGCTGTTGATGCCGATCGAATCTTCGTGTGGTGCTTACATTCATGCTGAGTTATAAGACCTAGCGTCTTTTTACCAAATTATCACCCATGTCTCTGCTTCTACGCATATTCAATTTTGTGCTTTTTGCCATTATTGGCAGCTTTCATGGTTCGTTACGAACTTTCTTGCTTGTTGTGACTCTCGAGCTCCTTGAATAGCATCGCTTCTACCTAATTCAGTGTCATCTCCTTGAAATTTCGATAGTTAAGGCAATGAAATCATACTCTGTAAGGGGGCTGCTAAGCAGCATCAAGATCGTCATTTTTTGTCACGTTTATCGATGAGTACTCGCATTTTACCAGGATGTATTTGCTTCGAAATAAGTCAGAAGTTACCAGCAAGTTTGCTGAAATTGTTGTCTTTGCTGAAACACAAACTGGCAATCTTGTGAAGGCAATTCGCTGTGATAATGGTGGCGAGTACAAGTCAAGTGAGATGGCCAAGTTCTGTTTGCACCACGGCATTGAGCAAATTTTCACTCCGCCATATACACCTCAGCTCAATCGAGTTGCTTAACGCAAGAATAGGACATTGGTGGAATGTGCGCGTTGTATGCTCGAGCATGCAAATCTGTTAAAAACGTGTTGGGGTGAAGCTGTCATTACTGCCAATTTCCTGCGAAATCGATACCCGACGCGCAGTATATCCTTTGATAAGTCACCATACCAAGTCTGGACGGGAAGGAAGCCGGTGTTGGCAAACCTAAAAGTAT